TATGCTCTCCGACAAACATAGTTTATCTCCCCAGCAAACAGTTGCAAGATTGACAACCCATCCCTTGCCACAATCGTTTTAATAAAATCCTACAAAAAGAACTTTCGACCGAAACTAAAATTACTTTTCAAGCCACAAACCTTCCTCGCATAATTAAGCTTAAAAGGTTTATCATCAAAGGTAAGTTTGTCGATCGTATAAACTATGCGAAACTCCTTAGCTTCCAGCTGGAACAGCATAAAGAAAGTAAAGAGCATCATTGTCAGTTGTAGGAGAAAAATGAAATTTTTTGGGTACCAAGTCGTACTGGTCTCTTGAGGAAAACAAAGGAAAGGATTTACCAACCATCTCTACCGTGGCGAGACAATTAATTACGGACAGTGCAATGGCAAAGATTGGCCTACAAAATTATATTAGAAATACTATTGTAGAGGAAGCTAGCGAAAATATTCGATAGTACTGTCGTTCACGTTACTCGCATGTTAATCCTTATCTCATTGTATCACGATATTCAATTAAAGTCAAGGAAATCGTGATCAAAACGTTTGGGAAAATTCGCTTCGATCATACTATCTTTAGAAATGTATTCCTTCAACTTGCAACTTCAAAATATATGCTTAGCGAATGCAAAAGCGTTTCCAAAATGCGAAGATAAGTATTCGACGAGTCTAACTGTATGGGCATCTTGAGAACATAATATTAAGAAAATGTTAACTTTTATTAGTAGAGCAACGTGACTATCTGTAAAAACAACTGAAAAGTTTGTGATGGGCCGCGACCCATCATTAAATACCCTAAATTATTTCGCTTAATAATAACAACTTTCCAAAATAAGGCCTTATATTGAAAGTGATCGAAAAAGGGATCCAATCCGAATCGTTCTTTGGTATTCGTATTTCACTAAAATAATCATTTCAAAAATGGCGATCTGCAGAATAAACACGAGAATGGTATGCGGACAAAGGAAAAGGCAATCAGTTGGTATAAAAAAAGGTGCGTCTATCTCAAGTCCTTCTATGTGATGCTTAACAGATCGATTTTTTACTTTCGATTTAAAATTTTCGCGATTGTCCCAAAAACAGGATGGGGACAGAAGGATGAGCTTTCTAGTTGATGTTAGGGTATATTTGATAAGCATAACCTTCTGAGTGTTGTGTAATGAATTATCAAAAATATTTTTCTTCTTCTTCTTTTTATTAATTTTTATTTTATTTATTTATCTTTTTTTCAATCCGCATGAGTGGACGTAGACAAAGAATCTCGAGAAACTAAATGGTCGTTGGTTCGAATTTCATGTGCAGTAGAGTTTTTAATAAAGTTGTCAGTACTGTGGCTAAATTAATAATAATAACAATATTCGTCGGTCTTAATTCTTCATTTGTTTTTTTTTGGAAATTGAGCTTGAACAGATCACAAAACGGTTTTAAAGATGATGAAGAGCAATTAACTTTCATTTAATGGCATACGATTCCATACAAAGTAGATTCTCTGACTTGATTTAATGTTGGAATTGTTAATTTCTTTATTTATGTATATATATATATTTTTTTTTTTCATAAATTTGGTTTGAAGCAATTAAAATAAAAAGAAAAAAAAAAAATTAAAAATTATAAAATAAATATAATAAAAACATGCAAAAATTCATTTTCATGCACGGGCAAGCAGCAGATTAAAACAAACGTAGAAAAAAGCAAACGGCAATCAAGCGTGTTAGTTAGTGGTGAATTCTATTTTCAATGCAACTATGGAAAACAAGTAAGAAAATTATATTCGGTAATGACCGAATCGTTTATACCCATCACCGTTATTCTCAAAAAAGGGGAAAAAAGTAAAAGAACTCAATTTTTATACCCTATAATATGGAGTGGGCGGCGCTGATTTTGTCTATTTTCAAAATAAAAGTATTTGTTCCATAGGTAAGTCATTTCCAATTTCTTTTGCAAATTTGTAAATGACATCTTATAATCGTTACCACAGGTGCTACACAATTGCGCAGCTGGACAGATGGATAGACGAGCAGACATGTTTAGGTGTATTTAGGTCTTAAAACTGGCCTAGAATTTGTATACTTGATGGGGTTTTTGAAGTTTGTCTCTGCGCGTTAAGTATTGAAAAAACAATTAAATTTTGATATACTGTAGTATTGGGTGGGCGTGGTCAATTTTTTCCATCTTTGTGCGCAAATGCTGCGGCATCGCCCATAGACTATGCGATCACATTTTTGTCCGTTTATTTGCTACAGTTTATGAATAATGAGCAACAAAACAATTTTTCATTCCTTTTGAAAATTACAGGTGTTTTCAGTTTACGTGGCACTTGGATCGCTTTAGCCTATTTCCAACACCAAGCTGCGCGTTAGAACTTCCAATATTCCTCCCAAAGTTGAAGTTGATAGCTTCATTTATGCGGTCAGAAGAATGCTTGGAACAGACATTACATAGAGAGACAGACGGACAGACATGCTTAATCGATTTAGAATTTGTGCTGTCTCTGATATTTCCTTCTGGGAATTGCAAACGTTTTGACAGAACGAATATACTCTTCATCCTTCCGTGATAGGTATAAAAAGAGATGACAGTGCACGCATGGATTGATATTTAGTTGACTTAATTTACATTCGGACGTTCGTTACCGTAGTTTATTTATTTATTTTTTTTTAAGACCGTATATTTAATTATAGTCGCTAAAGTTTAAAAAATTTCCAAGAAAGGGGAAATATAATTAACATAGTAGCCACAATAATATGACCAAAAAGTGAGACTAATATTCAATTCAAAATTGCGTCAGTACATCGAATATCAGAAATATATTTTTTTAAAATAGACAGCACTGTGACATAAGACATTTGTGCCATATTCCAAATTCGATTTTGTACAGTGTGTGATTTTGTTAAGCAAACAACAATTAATCGATCATGAAACGCATTAAAGGAGAGTAGACTTTAATCCAAGCATATGACCGATAGAAATACCCGATTAATCGAGCGAATATCGTGTAAGAGATGAACCAAGACCGAAAAAACCGCATCAAAGTCACTCAAAAATCAAGGCGATATTAATAGTTTTCTTGGACTATCGTGATATTGTGCCCCATGACCTCCTACTACCAGACCAAGCGTCGTTTGCGTGAAGCTCTTCGCAAAAGTAGGCCGGTATAGATTTATAATTCGCAACCGTGACAGTTAAAGGGTAAAAATTTTCAGAGCAATTTACTGTAGACTGCCGCATAACTGAGCGGAGAAAAGTCGCGACAACTGTTTGATTGTCATTGCGGTGGACCATGCTTGGTCGTAGCTATAGCGAATGCTCAGTCACACATGTATCTATTAGGCTGCGACCATTCCTTCCTTATTTCTTTTTCTTTCGTTCATATCTTTCTCGGTATCACAGTGTTACACGTATGGGGAACATCTCTTCTAGAAGGAAAACAAAGTCTATGTTAGATTAAACGAAAGATGCCAGCTTTAAAACATTTTTAAAAATATGAAAATATTTAGGGCATTGGTCAAATAAAGCAAAAAAACATCATTTCGTTGTTGTCATAGATGTATAAGGCTCCAATTTCTAAGGGAATGATATTGTTTCGAGTATTTTTATATATATTCCCGTTACTTTTCGATCAGTACTAGCATCTGCTTTAGGCTATTTTTTTGTTTGTTTAATTATGTTTTGTATATATATTCTGGAAAATATTTAGCTCTCTAGAGATCAAAACCATATTATATTAGAAGATATATATACATATATATATATAATATAACAAGCAAAGAACTTTACTATGAAATTTGTAAAATAAATGAAAAATTGTAAAATTTGTTCACCACATATACATATATTTTATATGGCCATACGAATGTCAAATGCTAAAGTATAGAAATACAAATAATAAATTTTAATAAAAATAAGTAAAAGCTTGCCTGAGCGCACGATTTTACAAGTTGATACGATTCCGTCCGCTTAGTGTGACTCGTTTGGTTTTTTTTTTTTTTGTTCCTAACTTCATTTCCGTCGTTTTTATAGTTCATGCTCTTTGTCACCTGTTCGCTGTCTACCGCTCTTCTGCATATCTACATCTTACATCCTTACAGTCATCTGTCCCGGATGACAATCTCTCCTTTATATCTTTAAAAGTTTTCAATGGCTTTCTATAATCAACAAAAGTGGCTGTGTTACGCGGACCTTCATAGTTTGCGGTATTTTCAACATTATAACGACCGTTACCGTTTTATTTTGACAGCTCGATATTGACCTGAAAACTTTTTCATCAGCTTTTTCTCTCTGGGTTTTTGGCAACTAATTCCCCGACTTGATATATTTTTCCTTTTTACGATGCTGATCGAAGTGACGCTTATGTGTATCTTGTGTCTTCTGTATTTGCTGTTATTTTACTATATACATTAGGTTGGTGTAAAAACTCTGCCGCATATTAAGCAGGACATGTGATCTTGAAGACGTTTGCCTTCTTTCTCAGCAGTGGAATAATGAAAAGTGTTCAGATGTGGATTACACTCGAACATGGACCGTAAATATCGCCCATATCGACAATCTTCAGAGCATGATTTGCAACTATTTTTGCCTGGTCTAAACATTCATAACTTAATTTTCCAATGTGTCACTCAAGTTTTTATAAGCAACCCTTGGGTTGCTTCTTTTTCTGGCACTCACACTCAATGCATTGTCTTAAACGAACTTCATTGACTTCACTCTATTCGCTTTACACTTTCCAACTAACTCATCAAGGGCATTGAAAGTAGTCCCTCTGATATTCTGATGAAAGTTATGCTAAACAACAAGATCCCATCCACTTTTCCGCCAATCTATAATATATATAGTGCCGGTACTATTTGATCAAAATATTTACATACTCTCTGTGCATAAAGAGTGCTTTTTGAAAAATTGAAAACAACAAATTTTTTTTTTTTTTTTACTAAAAAAACGAAAAAATATTAATTTAATGAAACTATGATTGTATTTTTAATTTTTTCATGGCTCACCACATAGATTGGCGGCATTTCGTGAAGCTACTTGAAGGAAATTACTATACAATGCTAGTGAAAACTTTGAATATTGGCGTAGATCTACATATTGGAGATAATGAGAATGACATTAGTAACTATAGCGATGCTGACGATAGTGTCGCTAACAATCATAGTCAACGAGAAGTTTTGCAAAGTCAACAACGTGACGATGAAATGAAAACTAAAACGAAAAGTTACGATAGTTTGCAACAGCAGCAGAAACAACAACAACAACAACAGCAGCAACAACAACGCTCATCAAACATTGGTTATTGCCGCTTGGGTAAAGAGCTAGCACGTGATTTTAATAAAACCGTTTTATTATGGCCCTGTCCTCATATAAAAGTGAGTAACACTACTACACTACACTACTGATGCGATTCTTAACTAAATTCTTTTACACATCACAATCATAATAGACGCTCGAATTGTTGCAAAGAGAAAAATAAAAAATTAAAAAGAAGAAGAATAAAAAAAAATCATTCTCATAAGTAAAGATTTTGTGGAAATTTGATTTGAATTTTTTTAATAACAGAAGACTTGTTTAGTAAAACTTTAATTTTTATGTACATTTTTTCTATGATTATTTTTTATATGAGCGGATGTATTAACGTAAACGTGAATGTTTGTGCGCATGTAAATATTAGAATACTGATTTAATATTTTATGTAAATAGAAAACCAACTTACACTCGAAACATACTTATCACAGTTTTGTATGGGAAAATGTGAAAAAAAAAAAACGAAGGAGGGAAAGATACTCAAGTGCAAGTTACAGTTCTATTTACACACACATATACATATAAAGTTGAGAGCACTTAGTATTATGTATTTTGTTTGTATATCCAACTACTAACTGACTGTATGTGAAATGATGGGTACTTGAATCCATGTATAGCATTATACATATATTCGCTTTTCACACATCATATTCGTAACAAATGTCAAAGCCTTGCTAAGATCTTACAAAAGATTTTTAGATATTCTCAGAGACACTTGTAACACAAGACAAATTCATATTTTGCTTCATATATCTAAGTTGAACTAACGACACTTTCAAAATAACTTGATATGTAAAGAAGTATATCATGCAAAACAAAACTGTTGTACGAATTTTTGTCATTCAAGTTGCTACATAGGTAAATTCTCTATTCCTTTTCCCAATTTTTTTACTCCACTTTTCTTTTCATAGCATAAATAAAGAGAAGAGAAACTGAACTTCACTATCGTTATATTCTTTTATTTAATACTTATGCCCAAAAGTATGCCAAGTTTTTTTTGCCGCATGTAACATCTAAAAGTATACTTCAAATATGCCATAATTTATATAAGTTGTGGAGTAGAGAGAAATCAAATGTGTCCGTTTGTCCGTCCAGATTACATCTTTTCCTGAGACGCTTATGGTCTAATGAAATGAAATCCAAAAAAAGGCAACTTAGCAAATATATCTTAAGGTGATTACCACAGACTACAGATAACTGGGTTGTATTAGTTTTGGGGAGCATCTTCGACCCCTACATTCATAGATTAATACAAAAATAGAGGAGCAAGTCTCTTTGGCTAACGAAGAGAATAATTCTTTTAAGATGGCTTAAGTGCCTTTCCTGTGAAAATACAAAGCAGTTCAGACATTTATGTCTGTTTGTACAATAAATGAAATCAGGAACCGTATTTTATTCTTGGATAAATTTTCTTAGTCTTACTCCCACTTTGGTCAATCACAAGTCAACTTTACGCTAAATTTTCCATTTCTAAATTTTCCTTCTGAATCATATTTCATAAGTTGATTGTAAGTATTTCAAAATTTCAAAGTATTTTTAGCATTAAATTCAATGTAAGTAAATGGAAGGTCGATAAAAGGCGGAATAAAAGAGTTTTTTACTTTATGAGTGCTAGAGAGAGTGTAGTTGCGTTAGTATACTTTTGTTTGTCGTATGGTATATATAAAAATGTGCCTGAACATGCTGCTGTTGCTAATTACACTTCATAAACACTAGTTAAACACGTACATGAACTTTGTCCAGCTTTATTTACATGTAAATCCAATCATTAATAAAGCTAGAAGCTGTAAGCCTATGATTGGATTAAAAGAAAAGTTTGAAAGGAAATCAAGTTTCCAACACTAGCCAGGAATTGTAATCATTTTCACTTAAAAGTTTCGATAGAATATGCAATAGTATTGAATTGATCGACTTTGTTCATAAACAATATTATATTCTTCTTATCTCTTTTTATAAAAACGATACATAGACATACAAGTTTATATATCTTTGCGTAGAATTCAAAATTAGTTTGCTCTCTTATGAAGGTGGACAGGTTGAATCGAGTTTACAAGTTATTAATTATGACATTTTAAGACATTTTGTTATATCTAAGACCTGGATACCTATTTATTAGAAGACATGCTACCGCTGCATAGGTTTGATTTAACCTTCACTACTTGTCCATTCAAAAGTGTCCGTTTTCCGTTCTGCTAGTGTTTCTTCCTTATCTGTAGATATTCTCTTTTAACATTCGTTATCCATGTTAGCCAAAGTCCATTCAGTCAGGTACTAGCATCCGCCGTCTGGTACCCATTTTCTGTTGTCTGTTATTCATTATCCGTTCCTTAATATGCACTTTAATATACTGTCCAATGTCTATTTTTCAGTAACTTATTATCTGTTATCAGATATTTATCAACCACTGCTTAATACGCGTTACTGATAATGGTCGGATTTCAGTTATCTAGTATCCACTGCCGTATTACTCCATATTTGGCGTCTTTTGTATCTTATACATTGTCCAATACCCATTCTTCAACACCCGTTACTTATTATTAGCTCTTATTTACAGTTCGTTGTCCGTAGTCTATTTGTACACTGCGGGTGTTTTGACACAAAAATTAATTGGATACAATTTGGACCAGGTAGCACTATTTTCTTTATTTAATTCCATAAAACGGTTCTCACGAGAAGTATATCTTTATATTGAAAAGAAGTTAAATTTGTAGTTTCTTATGGCTAAAGTAATGGAGTCTTTACGTGAAAACTTAAGCTTGCTAAATTTGGATCACGTCATCCCATGTTCTAGACTCCCTAGTCTATAAGGGCTCTCAGGAGCAGCTTGCTTTTACCTTGCTCTATCCTGTTTAGGATTGTGTCACGAAAATAAAAAAAGATGAATTATGTTAGGCGAAGTTGGGTAAGATCGGTCTTGCCCTAACCATGTAAGCCTGTTATGAAGAGCGTGCCCTTACATGGAAACAAAGTGCTATGCATTGTTTGGTATGTTGCCACGAAAACAAATAATGAATTATGTTAGAAAATGGAACGTAGAGTATTTAAGAGTCATTCTTGCCCTACTATAACGTTTCTAAAAATTTTTATTTCGTCTCACTACATTTTATGTTATTTAAATAAATTGTTAATAAATTGTTTTACTTTTAATTCTCTTTAATTTTTTTACAAGTTTGATATTTCAATTATTCAATGCCTTTTGAAAATTTTCGAAGCATTTTCATGGTCGTTGTCAGTTGAGACAGCTCTTGACATAAATTAATTCAAAACTCTTATATGGAAATATTTGAAGATTTCTCTTTTGGAATGTTTTATAAATTTGCAAAAGTAAATTAAATGCACTTTATGTATATATGAAGTATATTAACACTCCACTGACGATGAACATAGAATTTATTGTAAATATTTTCCAGGAATTGTCTCGACGTTGATGAAAAGTATTGTTACGTAAAATGCTTTTTGTGACTCTGCGTTTTCCTTGAATTCCTTTTGAAATTAAGTTTCTACCATTGAGTTGCGGTTTTTGGCATAGCATAGGTTTTATTTACAAAATCTTAGGAGATTTATTTACAAATTATTTACAGGAACTTATATTTACTGCTTTCATGTTTGAATATTACAATTCAACTCTTTCGACTCCATTGACTATGCCGTCCGCAAATATTTTGCCCTTTTACAAGCAGATTACTAAGATCAAATTTCATTGTAACATTTTCATGCTAATCCCCTTTTACCTGTCAAATGTCAAACGGCCAGTCACTCATCAAATATCCCCCATTCGCATAAGATGCCTGCGGTCAGAAATAAGTGAGGGAAGAGAAGGAAAGAGGGAAAGATAAAGGTGATGGCCGCAGCCTAGTGGATGTGCGCTTATTCGTTAAGTGTTATGCCTTCACTATATCTACGATTAAGCATTCACTATACCTACGATCGTAGCACACTCTACCGCACTAACATTTAAACCTGTAGATATTGATTTGGTAGCGACGATTCCTACCTATTCGGTTAATTTTGTGGAAAACTTGTGCATATCCTGCAAAGACGCGACGTTGCCGCGGTATAGATCCGAGCTAGGAGTGATCCCCTAAATCAATAAAACGACTTGAAAACTTGGCAACTTGGCACACTAATAACGAACATTCTTAGTTTAGTTAACGGACGATACGAAGCTTTGCAAGTTAAAAATTAATTTAGATAGGACAAAGTAAAGGCGTCCATATTAAAAAGAGCTGACTTGACGGTACTTAAAGATTAAATTCTACATATCATTTAGATTCTTACAAAGAACTCTAAAAAGTGAAATAACTTTGAGGTCTATTTATATGGGCCACGTTCTATGAATTATTAGGAACATTGAAGATTAGTTCCCCTAATAAAGCTGACGAGTCGATAATAGTATTCACTAACTTGATTAAGCAGGAGACATATCAGATAAGCCTACGTTTCTCCTAATCTAGGAGAACCCTATATTCCTCCTAACCTAGGGTAAACCTCCGATTCTACGAATCTAGAGTAGCCCTGTTTTTCTCCTAACTTAAGATAACCCTGTATTTATCCTAACGTAGCATAAACCTCCGCTTCTACCAATATAGAGTAACCCTATTTTTCTCCTAACCTAGGATAAGTCCACCTCTTCCAATCTAGGATAATCTTATGTTATTTTAACTTAGGATAAATCTCAACTTCTTCCAAACTAGGATAAGTCTGTATTCCTACTAACATAGGGTAAACCTCCGCTTCTACCAATTCAGAATAACCCTATTATTCCACTTAAGTCCACTTCTTCCAATCTAGGATAATCTTATTTTTTTTCTAATCTAGTATAAATCTCCACTTCTTTCAAACTAGGATAACCCTATGTTTCTCCTAACCTAGGATAAG